GGGGGGGGGGGAATTAGCAAGCCGGGAGCTGCGGGAGGCGCCTGCCGTCCCGCCTTCTGCAAAAACAATCTCTCTCACACACGGCCGGGCTGCATCACCATCATCGTGATGCAGTGCGTATGACTGCTGCAGTCGCAAAGTGGCGACCACGGTCGCGGCCCCCGCCGCGCGCGCCGCGCTCGTCCCAAGGAGCCCAGCGAGGACGCGAGAAACTTCAAAACAACGTGATTTTGTCGCCGGGAGAGGGGGGGGGGGGGGGGCACTGCCAGGGGCAGTATGGTGTTTTATCACGGTCATTATTAAAGCAAGTAACGGGACCTCGGGAGAGAGATACGTCTCGTAAACTGGGCTAGATGGCTGGGGAAAAATTAATAAGACGCACCACATAAGGCTAGGAAGAAAATTGTCAACGTAACCCTTGCTCTAAATAATTAAGGCCAGTTCTCAAGCGGAAGGCAGGCGATAGGCCGTCGGACAAGCGGTCACACGTGAACACAGCCGGCGGCTGCTGTTGTTTCTCTGATTGGGGAAAGCACTCTGGCCGTCCACAACACGGTGCGAAACAAAGAGTAAGCGCTTTGCAATGGAGGTCAAGTGAGGTGGCGGCGGCAGGCAGCGGTGCCGGCGGTGGCTGGACGGGACGGGGACGGACTTCGGGAGGCGCCCGTCCCCGTCCCGCGGACACCCATTTGACACTTCTCGCGGCGCACTTACGAATCCATTAGCGCGGCACACGAGACCCGGGCCCGGGAGCCTCGCCGGGAGCCGCCCCCTCCTCATCGCTGTATACGTTTATTCGCACTCAGCGGCGAACATCATTTAGTGGCGCTCGCGGGAGGTCGCCACCCTCCAGGACAAGCTATTAGCTTCGGCCTGCGCGACGGACATGTGGAGGGCGACGGGCAAGTTCTTGGAGGTCGCCACCCTCCCCAGGACAAACTATTAGCTTGATTTCCGCGACGGACATGTAGAGGGCGGCGGGCAAGTTCTTGGAGATCACAACCGTCACCATCCAGGACAAGCTATTAGCTTGACCTCCTCGGCAGACATGTGGAGGACGACGGGCAAGTTCTTGGAGGTCACCCACTACTCCACTACTGTTCGCTACTATCCTGGACGCTTCCAGGATCACGACAGCTTGGCCGGCACTTCCACCTCCATGATGCTCCCATCGAAGGTCTTCCTCGTGCAACAGCGCCGGGGAGGCCATGGAGACCACCACCACTCTCCAGTCAAGGGACTGCTCGGCATCTACGGGCCATGTGCCGCTTCATACCAGGCCCGGCCCATGGCCCGGCCTCGTGGAGGAGTTGGGTTACACGAGCCCGACGGGCATACACTTACTGCA